ATATTTATATATGTTACTGGAAAAGTATGAAATAATCGTCCTGATGAGGTTAGTATGTAAATGATGAGCCTGTTACTGTGAATGACTGAAATCGGTGGTTGTTGACTTTCACCGGTGAATGTTGATAATCACACAGTCGCTTTGGTGAGTGTCCGAAATATTTATTACATCCGATTTGATATGAATTTATTCGTGAATATAATTACATTTATTCGATATTTTAATACCAACTGACTATAGCTCGGAAGAAACATCAGTGCTTTGAGTATCGGGCAATTATATACCACGCAATGATACTTGATATGATACAATGATATGAAATTAAAAAAAAATATCAGTGTAGGGTATACCGGGCAATGGCACTTAACCTTAATAAAACATCAGTGTAGGGTATACCAGGCAGTGGTCCTTGACCTTAAAAGACCATCAGTGTAGCGTATACCGGGCAAAGTCCCTTGACCCTAAATAGACGTCAGTGTAAGGTATAACGGGCAAATGTATACCAGGTAGTGGCCCTTGACCTTAGAAAAGCATCAGTGTAGGGTATACCGGACAAATGTATACCGAGCAGTGGCCCTTGACCTTAAAAAAAATCAGTGTAGGGTATACCGGGCAAGGGCGCTTGATCTTAACAAACCATTGCCCGGTATACATTTGCCCGGTATACCCAACATTGATTTTTTTTAAAGTCAAGGGCAACTGTCTGGTATATATTTGCCCGATACTCCAAACACTGATGTTTCTTCTAATCTATCGTCAGTAATATTAAAATATCGAATAAATATAATTATATCCGCGAGTAAATTAATATCACATCAGATGTAATAAATATTTCGGACATTCACAGTAACATGCATATCATTTACTTTGCCGGTGTATATATATATATATATCTTATATATATATACCGGCAAGATAAATTATATGAATGTTACTGCATATCATTTACTTTGCCGGTGTAGCCTTCCTGTTTCAAAAGATGCGAATTCCGTCTCGTAATAATGTGAAGAAAGAAACTATTGTATCTATAGTTTTAAGTTTCCAAACATCAACGTCTTCCTTAATTTATTATTAACTTTTACATTTAATTTAAAAAATACATATATGTATATATATATAAATGATTTAACTTTCTTCGTTAATTTTTTTCATTATTTTAATTGAGATTTGAATTTGAAACAAATCCAAGTATAATCACTTTTAATAATAATAAAATAATTATTAAATTATTAATTAAATTTTAATGTCCAAAAAAATTTAGTTGTTTTGGATATTTCATCCAATTGATTTAGATATTTTTTCCTTTGAAAAGCTTTTACACAAATAATAAACTTGGTACAACAAATCTAGGGAATGATTTCAAAAGAAACAGAATTAAATTTAAAAAAAGTAAAATATAAAATATTATTCCTTTCCGAATAAAAATAAAAACTATCTGCAGTTTCAAAAAGTTACTAGTTTAAATTGAAAAATTGTTTTTCCTGTTTATTTTTCTAATATTTAATTTACATCAAAAAGCTTTTATTCAAAATCAAAGCCGCTTTCTATATTGCAAAATTACTTACTTCTTTAAGTAATTCTTTTATTGCATGAAAAATAGAATTCTTCATGAAATTAAGCTATAGTATTTTTAATCTTTATTTCTACAGAAAACAGAAAATTGAGGACTTAATTAAAAAGAAGCCTTTAAAGAGAAAATTAACCTATAAATAGAACAAATACGTCATAAGTATTGTTCTTTGTTTCAGTTTTTGTATTGATACTTAGATTATAATTATATAAAGAGTATATATCTTATTATATAAAAAACTAATGCGTTTGTATGTAGATTGTTAAAAACAACTTAAAAAATTTATGAGCTGGTTACGAAGAACGGAAAACTAAAATGTGAGTCAAATAAAAAATCATAAGCATGAAAAACAAAATTTCGTTTAAAAACATCAGCAACTAAATAACAACATTTATTAATAAAAATAGCACCAACATCTAATTTAAGCTTAAGTCATTTTCATTTAGATATCTTTAATTAATTACCATGAGTAAAGCATTAAAGAGAGTGTTTCTAGGGTTAGATTGTTTAATTCATTATTTTAGTTCATATTTTATCTTCTTACGTTCAAATTTGCATTTGTGTGCAAAATGTCAGAATATCCCTTCAGTACTTTTCGAATAGCAGGGCGCAAGTGAAAGTTTGCCAAAAAAAATTTAGATCATCGCCAATTTTTTTTTTATTTGTTGTTTTTTGTAAACAAAAAAATAAGAATACTAAATTAAAAAACAGTGAATAAACTAAGAATAAAAAATACGTTGTGAAACAAAAATAATTAATTAAATAAATAAAAAAATGGAAGAAAAATAAGTGAATTTCCTTTAGCCGGGCTAACCGAAAAGTACCTAGCCTCTTTCATGCTCCTTATGTTTAATGACGCAGCTGAAATTCTAATCAAATTTTAAATACAATTTTAATTTAATGCTCCTTTTCTTTGTTATATCATATATATTTTTCTTCTTATATCTTTCAAAAGAGAAAGATTGCTACTATTTCATTTTTATCGGGCAGTAAAAAATTGCGAAGTTATCATAGATGAAACCAGTATTACCAGTGAAGTACGGTAATAACTATTATGCTAATATTGTATTGATCGGTACTTGAAACATCACAATAATTACTAATATTCTTCATTTATACACCAAATTGATATATCCTTAATTGTGGTATATATAATGAGCATGATCTGCATTATTATCTTACTTTTTCGCTCATGAATAGTAGGGGAGAGTGGGGTCAATTGCAAAATTTTTTACTTAACTATTTTTAACTAACAAAAAATCTAATATATTATTAGTATTAATTGACAGACGAGTAAAGTAGACTATCCTCTACTAGAAAAAAAATGCCTTCTTTTAAATGTTATTATACTAGTTATTAACAATTTTTGACAGCAGTGCACTTGTTACAATTGTCCCACCTACAGGGTCAATTGTAACAGTTCATAAATTCAACTAAAACACAGTTAATTATACATATTATCATAGTTGTGATATATTTTTTATTGATCAAAGTAGTAGTTATATTTTAGAAGTAAAAATAATAATGAGCAGAGACCTAAAGGGTTAAACTTCTAACTTTAAGGGGTTAAAAATTTCAATTTATGCTGTGAAAGGTGACAAATAAAATACTGCACATGCAACATAATATAAATGATATAGAAAACTATTGGTGGTTCTTAAAGAGTTAAGTAATGGTTTGTAAACGTACGATTATTTATTTTCAGCTGTTACAATCGTCCCTCTACTTATTGTTACAATCGTCCCCAAGACGCCATTTCTGCTTCATTTGTTAAAAACAAAGCTAGGTAATAACCAAAACTAATCTTTTTTTTGAAATGTTAATTAAGGTGTCCACTTGCATATTCGGTTACTAATTTTTATTTGTTTAAACAAAATTAATTTGCTACAATATAATATTCTAATACCAAAAAAAGTACTTACGTAGCGTGAAAATATCTTTTGTCATGTAGCTCTTTTAAAAGTACATAAAAATGGTTGCTAGCAGGGGTGTACATGTAGATTTATTAAATACACCTTGTGCACCACCTGGGAACCAAATCTAGAACCCGATCCTCGAAATTTTTGCTCTCGTACCCTGTTACAATTGACCCCACTCTCCCCTACTAAAAGCAATTATCCAACCAGAAGTACGGAATTCAGTAAAGTTTCAAAAAAATACTTCTCGTCAGTGAGCTTTATAGTTAACACAGACCCCGATATGGGTGTTCAAAAATGTGGACACAGTTCGGAATGCGTGTTTAAGGAAATTTAAATAGCTCCAAAGCAGAAAAGGGATGTAGCTCGTGAGGCATGTTTAAGAAAACGGAAATAATAAAAATTTCTTTTTTTCAATGTTGAACTAAATTTTACAGCTGAATAAGGAATCTCGTTCCTACTTTTTCTTATGAAACACTAATCATAATCGTTACGGAGAAAAGTTCTGGGATTGCTAT